GTTCGCTGCCTCCCGGTCGATTCTCATCGACGTATTGGGCACCCCTGCCTTAAAATCAGAGCTAATTCGCTGACTAGCTTCGCGCCGTTGTTTGCGCATGAGCGGTGATGCAGTCATCTGATTGGTTGCCCTCTATGTCAATCAAGTAACGGGATTGATGATCGGCTGCCGTAGTACGTTCTGTGCATTTAGCGTCTTTGTTTGAATGGCATCGTCACTGCCGTGGCGCTTGTCTTATGAAAGCCCGGGAGCCGCATTGAACCAGCCAAAGAGCCACATGTGGCCCACGAGCCGCAGGTTGGCCACCACTGAAATAGGTGATTGACTATTGTTTTTTGTTTATTTTTTTGTTTTTTTCCTCCAAATTTACTAAACGACCCCATGATCGTGTAAAGCCTATCCCCATCAAGCTAATGAAAGGGTGGGGGGCAGCCAGCCACAGCACAGCTGTCAGCAGAAATCGGCCAAGTCCTGGTTAGTTCCGGCTGGTTGCAGCCTCGTCAAGGTGGCTTGAGCTTAGTGTCTGAGCAGTGTGCTGGTCCATCAGTTAGAACAAACACTAGACAGCCTGGCAGGCGCAGGCCACAAATCCCAGTCACGAGTGGTGATAAATCCTCCTAAGCTGAGGCCTCCAGGCCAGGTGGCTATCTCAGGAGGTCGGGTTGCGTCCTCTTTGACCACAACCGGTGAGACAAATATCCTGATGTCATTTGGGTGGCGGCAGCAGTGCAATGAGGTGGAAAATGAAGTCTAGAAAGTTTCTTGCATGTAGTCTGTGCCTGATAGGATTAGGAACCAAGAATGTTGGCACTGAGCGAGCCCAGTTAAGCTCACTCACTCGGATGGCAGAGGTGTCAAATTGAGAAGAGTTTAGCCACTACAACAATTCAGTAATTTTCATTGTCTAAGTCTGATATTGTGACATAGACTGTAACAGAACATTCAAAGTAATCCATCGGCAGCTTTGGAGCAAGATGTACGGAGCCATTATTAGACTTGGCTCTCTTCAAATGCAAGCACCGTATGCATAAATCTCGAATACATAGTCTTGGAGATGATCATGATGTTCTCCAACAAAGATCTTTTTTTTTTTTGGCATGCATTCTCTCTCTATCAGGCACTTTTAGGTGCGCCTCATCCACAAAATGAACAAAACCACACAAGTGGAATTGCTTTACCGAGTGATGTTCCCCACATCCTGTTCAGAGTCATCGGTGGAGAGTTTGAATAAATAGCGTATTTTCCGCACTATAAGGCGCTTCAGAGTATAAGGCGCACCTTCTATTTTAAAACTGTTATATCTATCTATTCATATCTAGGGTTCATTGCATTATAAGGCGCAGAGAATAGAAGCTCAAATAATGGCTGTGGTTGGGCAATGCATCCACTAGATCGGGGGTCGGCAACACGTGGCTCCAGAGCCGCATGCGGCTCTTTAGCGACATCTTGTGGCTCCCTGGAGCTTTATAAAAAAAATTTGAAAATGGAAAAAGATTTTGATAGTAGGCTAATATAGCTCAAATAGATATAGATACATGTTGCAGCTCCAAAAAAGGAGAGCTGTGGTGGTGTTTTTTTTTTAAAACGTACACTTTATTTATGCTTTTGACAGTCTCGACAACCACAGACACGTCTTCGTCCGACTCCGTGCCTTCTCTCTTCTTGTTCAACTCGAGAGGCATTCAAAGACAGCCTCCAAAAAAACGGAAATTCATGATCACTTCACTGACACTAAGAAAAGCGAAAATAATGCACCAAAACAAAAAATCAAGTGAGGAAATCACAAAATAAATTCTATGGGGGCATTTGTGAACACACAACAAAGGAATGAATAACAAACAATTCTGAGAAAGTCCAGTCTCCTACATACATACAGCATGTGTTAGGCTTTTATTTTTTTGCGGCTCCAGACATATTTGTTTATTGTTTTTTTTTTGTTTTTTTTGTCCTATATGGCTCTTTCAACATTTTGGGTTGCCGACCCCTGCACTAGATGGAGCCACTCGAATGGGAATACAATACAATAAGATCAGAAAACCTTTCATAGTCTCACAATGGAGAAATTCCCACTTTACAGCAGCGAAGTTATGAGAGGAAGCAGTAGAAGAACAAAATAAATAGATAAAATAAATACAGCTTTATTTACGTAGAGCTTTCACAACCGCTGCAGCTGAAACAAAGTGCTTTACAGAACATGTAAAATACCACGTCCAAGAAGCCAGAATATTGATCCATATCGAAGACGCATCTGATTATAAAGTGCACTGTCGGCTTTTGAGAAAATGGAATGGTTTTAGGTGCGCCTTGTAGTGCGGAAAATGCGGTAAACTACCATTTGCTCAGTCCCACATAACAGTCAAGTGTGAATGAGATCTCATTACTTTGCAAGTTTAGTTCAAAAATCCCATTTCATATTTTTGTCTTGCAGGGGTCTAGGGCAGGTTTTGACAGATTATGTTCATGGGGAGACCAAGATCAAGATCGCCAATGCGGGCCTCTTCCTCCTGTCCACGGTCACGTTCGCAGGCCTTTGCTACTTCAACTACAACGATGTGGGCATATGCGAAGCCATTGCCCTGCTTTGGAGCAAATGAACCTGAATGTGAGCTCGGAAGAATGACGTCAACGTGTTTCAGAGAAATTCTTAGAAATACACGGTCGGGCTTTGACAATATTTCCAGTGATTCACATGTGCGTAATTGTACTTTATATTAATCGGTTCTGCTCAATTTGGTCAGCTGAGTCACTGATGGGCAATTTCCTTGGGGGTGGGGATAAACTTGTCAAAGCTCAGTGTGGCCTGGAACTTGGGATGAAGTTGGCTAATGTCTTTTATAGTCTGTACCATATCATGTTAGTGACTCATCGTAGTTCATGAGGCTCCACATTTTGCCATAAAACATTTGTCGCATTGTACAGACCAGAATAGTCTTATTTGACTTCTAATTATTATTTTTTTTGGTTTTTCCACAAGGATTCGAGTTGTTGGATGATTTTCAAACGCATTTTCTTTCACTTGTACATACACTTTTGATCTTCAATCCATCTGATGTAAGATGTGCTCCATTGGTGTGTTTAAATGTTGCATTTGAGACGCTTCATCTCGGTCAAAGGTTGATTGCTGCCCTCTTGACAACCAAACAGCATGTACTTGTACCTGTCCTTTACTGTATGTCACTCAGCTTTACTGTAACGACCACTTCAGAATATAAATGTAAGCATTTTGCTTCACCCCGTGCAAGGCAATACCCTATATTTTACGGTCTTCGGGTGAACCCAGAGCCTGTAATCAGCCTTTTGTCATTGTTGGTGCGCTTTGTCGGCTTGTTAAACACAATCTTATAGTCATCACACATAACATCAACAAAGTGAATGGAGGCAGACCCTTTGAAATAATTCATTCGGGCTTCACCTGACTCTCAAAAGATACAGGTGTCACTTTTTGGAAACGGCTGGGGGAAGTCCCTTTTGAGTTCCAACATCAGGGCCAAGTCTGCCAATGCACAAAGCAAGCAAGGTACATAATTCTGTGCTTGACTGAGTCTGGTGTGGAGAAACTTTGACAGTCCCCATCAAACAGCCTTGGGAGAAACTAGAACAGCGAGTGTGAGTCAATCTGCGACTTCACACTTATCTGTTCAATCGCCAGATTTTTCCATAGACACTCCAGCAGCTTGTAGAAAGTCTTATCTGGGAGAGTCAATTCTGCTGCTGCTGCTGCTGCTGCAAAAAAAAAAAAACTCTTCCTTCTCTCTCTCTGTTTATTTGTACCATGCATCCAGAAAGCCTTCACAGCATTTCACTTTTTCCACATTTTATGTGATACCCAAAACAGGTCCCTTTTTATCTTCAGAAGTCTGCCTGTAGCACCCCACGATGAATACAAATTAGAAGAAGGGGAAACAACCACATTCCGGATTTGCCGTAGCATATCAATCCTTTTGTTTTTGAAGAGGTGATTTGCTTTCAACACACATCAGCCATCCACACACGCACAAAGATGAATCCTGTCAACTTTGAGCTTTTAGATGATTTATAGGTTGAATGTTTATTTCAGTTAAGACAGAAACAAGCAATTGGTCTGTTTCTGAGGAGTTTTTACCAATTTCACATGATGAAATATGGTTGCACTGGACAAGTGTAATTTAGCTTAATGTGACAAGTTTATATTATAAAACGTGAACATTTAGGAAAGGGAGATCTGACAACGTTCATCCACTTCGTCAACTTTACGATGCAAGACCAAGGTGAGTTGAGAATTATGTTTTGCTGGCTCAAAACCCAAAAATTCATACGGGTAAAGGGAGGACTCGAACATGTATTTTTTTGTTCCTTCAGGTAGTGGACTCATGTAGAATAAAGCTTCATGTTTCGCTGCTTCGATCTTCTCTGGAATATCCTGTGGTTGGAAAAATTTTTTTAAATGAAGTGGGTTCTAACTGAACCCATGGAAAATTGTAGAAAGTAGAAATTGTGGAGCTTTACAAATGAGTACTACTCACCATCGCCTTTGGGTAAATTTTTCGCCTGTCACTACAGCAAACCACCATCTTACGATCATTTTTAATAGCATACAGTATGACAGCAGAGCCCTTCCTGACCTTATGGCCAGAGTCATCGTAAAACTGAAAGTTGAATTTGCAATCTGGAGACAAAACAGAAGAAAAGATCATTCTTTTCGAAATAGCTTTTTGACATGACAGTAGCTTTAACCAATACGCGTGGTTGAAATCTTAGATTTGGTGTCTTGTTTTCTTGGAGAGTTTTTTTTGTCTTGCTCTTAAGGCTGAATTATTGTATATTGGTTTTCGACTCAGCCTGCAGTGTACAGAGTGCTTGAAATGCAAGAAAGGCAATCAGAATCCTTGGCTCTGAAAAGCTTCAGCAGTTTGAAGGGGGCTGGATGTTTTTTTTTTTGTGGATGACTCACTGGCACTGCACCTCTTCAACTGAGTCATAAAAGCCAAAATGACTCTCTTGCAGATAACTTACACTCGCATTTGGGATCATTTTTATACTTCAGTGACTTTCTATGTTACAAAAAAAAAAGGATACGACCTTGTACAAAAGCGTATTGCTGTGACACACACCCACAAAAAAGAACACGTAATAGCATGATAAATATCACATTTTACTTGGAAAAGTTTCACATTTTAACATGTTACCTTTCACGTAATAACGTGACAAGTTTCATGTTTTTATGTGATAAATTTGAGTTTTTCACTTTCAATTTTGTTTAGCGGCAGTTGGCGTCCGTCATGTTGCATTACTGCCATCTGTGGTTTCCTTTGCACTCTTTATTGAATTTTAATGTTGTCCAATTCATGACACAAGTTAAATCCTATTTCAATGTATACTGTATTAAGAGATCTACTTCCCTTGCTGCTCTTTACGGTTTCTTCTCAATGTTTTCCAGTTCAGGTCACTGCTGGAAGAGCTTGATGTGCATCTTCATTTTAAATCATTTTTTTAATCTTTAAAGGTTTGGCCTTAAAACATTAAAAAAAAACAAAAAACAATATTATCGAAGACCAATGTAGTCGCAGAGTAGCGACTTTGATTTATAAGACACAAAAAGGACTCCGCCAGTGAGCTGAACCAGAGAGAATTGCTGTGTTGTTTTTAATAATACAAACGTCTTGAACAAACTCATCCAGTGCATCCAGAATGTTTTCAGTGTTTCGGTTTTTGTCATGTTATGGCCTTATCCCAAATTTGAATTTTTGTCCCGTACACACAACACCTCACAATGACGATGTGATTTTTTTTTCACATTTTTTGCAAATTTATGAAAAATTAAAGACTGTTCACAGCCGTTGCTCAACACTTTGTTGATGTACACTTGGCAGTAATTCCTCAGCCTTTTTTAATATTGCTGGCGTGGGGCCGAAACCTCCTATGTCACAATTTTTATACAATAAATGTATATTATTGGTCAGTCCTAGACACATTAGAGATTCTCTTTATAAAATTAAGAAAACAGTGCCGCATGGGAAGTTTTTAGGGAATGCTCAATTTCAAAACATGAGTTGGAGTAAAGCGTATATTGATAAGTGTTCTTTTTGTACGGCTGAAGTGTGACTCATTTGTTTTTTGACTGCCCCATTAGTGCAGCATTTTGCAAAGATTTGGAAAACTATATATTATGTGAAACAAATGACACAATTGCATTGAATGGAAAACCAATTATTCTGTTGAAACCTAGAGAAAAAAAATGTGTACTACTGTTAATTTATACGTTTTGTTAGGAAAATTTCACATCCATAAATGTAAGTTTTTGAATTCCACTCCGTTACTTAAATCAATTTTGTTTGAGGTAGCTCATTATATGAAGTCTCTTGATCTATCCATCCATCCATTTTCTGCTCCGCTTTATCCTCACAAGGGTCGCGGGGGTGCTGGAGCCTATCCCAGCTGTCTTCAGGCAGTAGGCGGGGGTCACAATTTTTTTCTGTGCCCTTATCCAGATTGGTGCCTTGAGACAATCCTGTCTCAGTCGGCACCAAACAATTCCTTTGACTTCATGCTTGGTTTGTGCCCTATCATGTACAGTCACCCGTGGAAAGGTGTGTACCTTTCCAAATCATGTCCATTCGACTGAATTTCTCACAGGTGAACTCCAATTAAGCTGCAAGAACCTCTCAAGGATGATCAGTGGAAAAATGATGCGCCTGAGCTCAATTTTGAGCTTTATGGCAAAGGCTGTGAATACATGTGGAAAAAAAACAAACACTTTTTTCACATTGCCATTATGGGGTGTTGCGTATGAATTTAGAGGGGAAAAATAACGTATTATATTTTGGAATGAGGCTCGAACATAAAATGTGGAAAAAGTGAAGTACTGTGAATACTTTCTAAATGCACTGTACATACTGTACACAGACCTTAATATTATTTCCTGAATATAAATGGTAGTCTATTTTGTTTTGCTGAATGCGTAAGTCAAATTTATCCAGTTTTAATGTGATCATTTACCATGTTTTAACATGACAACATCCCACGTTAAAGAGGAAGTCAAGTCCACACTTTTCCCAGCAATTTTATGTTCTATGTCTCCCCACTAGTCTCAACCCAACTGCACTGCTGTCAACTTCAGTCAACAGTGGCGGGCGGCGCTGCATAAAATGTCAGCCTCCTCGGATGGCTGGAAACGGCTGATTAGACTTATTTCTTATTCCACGAATTTAATATTCATAACAATTCCGTGTTGACACTAGTAGGCCCCCACTTGAAAAGAACATTTTGAAAGTATTTTTTTTAACTTGACTTCTGCTTTAAACCCTGGGGAACCCACGGGGTCAAATTTGGCCCCTATAAATTCTGCTACTCAAATGCTACCCGTAAATCCCAAAGGGTCAAATTTGGCCCGAATCCTAAATTAGGATTAATGCATTAAATATTTGGAAAAACATATATTTGGTTGTTCAGTGAACATATAGCAGTCATTTAATGTATAATTCCTCATTTTCCAAAGAAGAAAAGGGTTCTTGGGTTCTCCAGGGTTAAAATGTGAAACTTATCATTATCATTCAAATGTGGGACGTACAGTAAAACCTTGAAACCATGAAATTTATCATGCTATTATATGACGGATATTTTTTTTCTTTTTTTTGGTATGGCAACAAACACACTTGTGTTCTCATCATGATATTGTAGGTAAAAAAAATGTTTGAGCGATTACCAACGCTTACACTCTTGACAATGACTTTACATTTAACCCGTTCAGGGACAGTGGTTACTCCAGTGGACAGTTTATCATGTTATCGGGTTACAGGGTGAATAAAGGTTTCATGATGTTGGCACTTTGAAAGCTGGAACATGTTATTTAAATTTCCATTGTTTCATTTGGAATGCTTGTAATGTGTTTTAGAAGTAGAACAAATCAAATTATGAATGAATTGTGGCCCAGTTTGAAGGTTCCACTGTTAAAGCCATTTCATAACAAGAACTTGAAAACTGAAAATCTAAACATGACAAAGCCACCAATGCAACAAAAAAATGTGACTTCTTACCAGGCAAGCATATCTGTTGGAAAGTTAAGTTTTGGACTTCAAATTGGCTGTCATCCCCTAAAAGCAGATATTTGTTGTCTTTATTATGAATCAAACTACTGTAGCACTGTGGAGACTTCCTGAAAGAGTCCACCCTCACAGGTCCATCTGGAAATGGGAAAAAAAATACTTGAATACTGTATACACACACACACCCACTTTATATATGTACACACACACACACGCACGCACGCACGCACGCACGCACGCACGCACGCACGCACGCACGCACGCACACACACACACACACACACACACACACACACACACACACTGTTTAAATATGTGTATGTATGTATGTTTGTTTGTTGGTTTATTGAACATAAAAACATATACAGTAATAAATTGACAGAAAGTAAGGTAAGTAAAATAGTAAAAAGGAAAGAGAATTCAGTCATCATACAACACAATTATTATGTAGTATACACACACACACACACAAACACACAAATTTTGTATTGAAAGAAAAATTTAAACAATACTCATCCATGTACTGTACTATTAATATCAATTTATTTACCTATGTCGTCCACATCAACGAGGGCTGCAAGACAGAGGAAAACGAGAATTCAGACTTCCCATTTCAAAGATGTCCAAAAACATTCCAAAAACAAAACTAATCGACCGACAGCTAATCGACCGGGTATTATTTTTTTCATGTTTACAGTCGCAATCAGGAATTTAACCGACCTTGGAAATTGAAGCCGTCATCATAGACATCAAGAAACTCAACAGGGAATATGTCACTGGTACACATCAAGTTGACCTATTATGGAAAAAAAAAAAAAGATTTTATTGTTATATTATCATGAGCTCTCCATTCATTTTCTATGGTGCTTGTAATTACAGAAGCATAATTTCCACATATCTGCACAAAAAATACCTGCTCACATTTTAGACAACCACATACCCAGTTATTCTTCTCTCTATATATACAAAAATTTGTCCCTCTTTCCCCCCCATCACATTCTCATACAATGCATGGTTGAGAATCCATCGATGTATCAATCTATTAATTTAAATGATTCATTTTACTCACTCATATCAATTAGTGGAACCTTTTCAACTCCTTGGAATATAAAATCAAGCTGACAAACCTGCCAGCATACAGTCCAGAAAAAGGTGAAGGCGGGGTCTCCCGTGTATGTCTCACGATGACCATAATCACACGCAAGCGTGTCGTACGAGACCGTGACCACTTTGTCTTAGCATCACTGCAACTAACAGAGATTTTAATGTTTTGCACACAAGCCACGGTGTTATGTTATGTCATGTTAACAATGGGCAACTTAAATTTAACGTGACATTTAATTAAGACACACATTCAACAAACACACTTAAATGATAAACAACCTTATGACTCGGGACACGTACCTTTCCATTTGATCAGTTCTGCTCAGATTCTCTGTACATGGGAATCAATACCGGTATTCACCGGTATCAATTTTCAGTACATTTCTTTTTTATTTTTGTATTTATTTATCTTTTTGGGTGGTAATAAATGTTAATTTATTTAACAATCCAAATTTAAAAAATCAATCAATATTTTTTTTTTTTTTTGCCCCAATATATAAAGTTTGACAGACTCGGTGTCGGGCAGATGCAAGGGAATCTAGTCTAGATTACTACTCTGTCAACAGTGGTCTTTCACAAAAAGCATTCACATAGACAGAGCGCTTCTTTGTACCCGTACATGCCAACAAATAGGCTTGCCCGTTTGGACCATTTATGTAAGTTTTCTAACTATAAACAGTGCTGACTTGTACCAAGGGTTGCAATTGTGAATTCTACACTATACATTATAAAAATGTGTACCTTGGAGAACAAAAATGGACGTCTACAGTACCTTTATTTCTGAGACCCCCCAAACGGGGACAGGAGGTAAAACAGGACGAAGAATCGATGACCCTCACGCAAGTTAATGAACTACTCACGCAACAAAAAGAACTTTTCACAGCTCTGATGCAGCAACAACAGGACCACTATAAAGGATTTGTAAAGATGATACTGGACTCAACAAACTCACGACTCGACAGTTTCTCCAGGGAAATACAAGAACTGAAAACCAGTCTTAATTTCACCCAAAAGGAGATCGATGACATTAAAAAACAGCAAATAAATGGAATTGACCATTGTAAAACTATGCAAACTGAAATACACAAATTATGTGACGGTATGCTGGATTTAACCGACAAGATGGACCACTTAGAGGGACAATCTAAAAGAAACAACTTGATAATCGATGGGATTGAAGAAACGCAAGGAGAAACATGGACTGAAACGGAGCAAAAAGTGCAAAACATTTTCAAGGAGCAACTGCAGTTAAAGGAGTCAATTGAGGTGGAAAGAGCCCACCGTACGGGGAGATATGAATCAGGAAGACCACGACCAAGGCCAGTAGTGATGAAATTTGAAAAATATAGGGACAAAACAACGATTCTACAGAGAGCAAAATACTTAAAAGGTACCAAAATTTACATTAACGAAGATTATACAGATGTTTTACGTCAAAAAAGAAAAGAACTGCTTCCAAAACTAAAAGCAGCACGTGAAAGAGGGGAAATTGCCTACTTGAGCCACGACAAACTCATCGTCCACCCCCGCACTAGTACTCCAATTCAACGGGCCCGACTTCAACATAATAAGAGCTGATTACCACCAGACAAAAATCTATGACTTAATTGATATCGGAAACACAACATAAACATGGACTTTAAAATCTTTGATTATGCTGAACACAAGACATTCGACCCAGAAAACAACTTGGACCCAGACAATAATTACTTCAATCATAATCACAGTATCATAAACTCTGAGTACTATACGGACGAACAATTCAACACAAATATAGAACTGAAAAATACACTTTCAGTGATACACCTAAACAGCAGAAGTCTTGATAAAAATTTCACCAAAATTAAAGAATATTTGACTACACTTAAGAAATTTACAATAATTGCCATATAAGAAACTTGGCTTGATGATGAAAAAACAAGTGAAATGAAAATTGATGGATATGAAATGTATGCAACTAAGAGGGAAGACAAAAAAGGAGGGGGAGTCGCAATATATGTAGATAAAACACTGAAATGCAGCAAAATTCATAGCTTGACAAACACAACAGAGTATCTAATGGAATGTCTAACTCTTGAAATACATATTAAAAATGCATCAAATGTCATTATAAGTTGCATCTATAGGACACCAGGATCCTGTCTTGACACATTTAATAAAAAACTGACAGATATGCTAAGTCGTTCTAATAACAAGAAAACACGAATAATATGTGGCGACTTTAACATTGACCTATTAAACCCAAATGGACACAAAAAAACAACAGATTTCATAAATACAATGTACAGCAACAGTCTTTTCCCAGTCATACTGA